AGGGAACAGGGGTGTAGTCAGGAACATGGGATGTACAGAGATCATTGGGCTTAGAGCTTGTAGGCCCAAAACAACATACAGCAGCCAGCAATCCAAAGGGGGGGAGGTGTAAGCGAAAAATGGGGGGTGTAAGGTCCAGAAACTAAAATTGGGCCACAAGGCCCACGAACCACCAAGGAGGTCCTAGCTTCTTCCTCATTATGCTTCACCAACCCTAATTCATCTTGCTCTCACCCTCACCAGCTGACGCCGCTAAACTCCGGCCCCTCTTCTTCTGAAACTTCCACCCCTCACCGTCTACACCTCTCCTTCACCACCTCCTTAACTCTTTGCATCTTCCTTGAAAACAACTCAACTACTCCGCTTCATCTCAAACCTCCCTCACCCTCCTCTAAATCGGATGATGGAAGAAGCTGGCGTTGCGTCCGATGGTTTACGGCGGTGGATTGTAGTCTCCGGTTGTTGGATTTTCAGAAATTTGAAGTTGCATGTTGAAGGTGGATGAGTGATGACGAACGGTGCTGATGAACTCTATGAACATTTCTGAAGATTGATGGATCTTTGACGAAGATGGATGAACACAGATGTTGAAGGAACTCGCAGGTCGCGTGTTGCGTGTGAAGATGAATCGCTTGAAGATCTGATGAAGACGGATGAAGTTCGTTGAAGACTTTCCGGATAAAAGATGAAGGTGATGAACGCTTGAGGAAAATCTGGGAGATTCTTTGAAGGTTGATGAAGATAACTGGTTGCAGGTTTGATGAATGTTGAGGATCTGGTGATGAACGGATGAAAGTTCTTGGAGAACGAACATGAAGGTTTGTGAATGTTCATGGAAAACTGGAAAAATCTGGAAGGTTGTTATGGATCTTGAAGATCTTCACGAAGAAGATGAAGATCTATGAAAAAAACCTGGAAAACGAGGTGAAGATCATGAATGTTGGAAAAAAGGTTGAGGAACACGAAGATCTTGATGAACAGTTGATGAAAAACGGCTGGAATTCTTGAAGTTTGATGAAATCTGGAAACGGTTTCTGGACAACTTGCATGAACAAGGATGAACAGGTGATGAATCTTCATGAGATTGGAAAAAGATGAGGAAGATGATGGAGTTTCCGGCGATGACATGAACTTTCCGGCGAGCGGTTACGACATGCTTGGCCGGGTTTGATTTCGCCGGCGTGTATTTCCCGGTGTTTGCATGTGGGATACGAGGGCGCGCCACCTGGCAGGCTGCGTGGTAAGGGGATGGAAGGGAAAAGTGGCGCGTGTTGGGGTGGCGTGTCAGCCATGCAGTGTGAGCGGGGAGATAATGAGGTGGCGGGTAGAGAGAGAGAGAGAGAGAGAGAGAGAGAGAGAGAGAGAGAGAGAGAGAGAGAGAGAGAGAGAGAGAGAGAGAGAGAGAGAAATGTGGTGAGGCTTATATAATGACATGTGACACTGAATTGGATCAATGGACCCCCAAACAGACATCTGGCCCACCAAAGGACTCAAATCTGACAAAAATTAAGACTGAAATTAATGGCTTAACAGACTCAATTAATGTTAATTAACTGCTAAGACTGCTAATTAATGATGATTAAGTTGAATTAAAGGAAACTAATCAAAGCTAATTAATCCTAGTTAAAATTGATTAATATCCTAATTACCATCTAATTAATATTCTAAAAAAAAGAATTTAAAATCTATTAAATTCTAAAAAGAATTAAACTAATCTAAAAAGAAATTAGAATCTATTAATAAAACCTATTATATTCTAAACAATTCAATTAATATCTAAAAAAGAATTAAATCTATTAATTTCTAAAACAAACTCAATTATTCTAAAAAAGAATTAAAAATCTAAAAAATAAACCTATTAATTTCTAAACAACTCAATTAATATCTAAAAATTTATAAAAAAATAGAAAGACTATTTAAACCTAATAATATCTAAAAATCATTTAGAATCTAAGCAAAATCTATTTAAGATTCTAGAAAAACAATTAACCTCTAGAAACTATTTTCTAAAGTTAAAAATAAGGAAAACAAATTCTAGAAAATGCAATGAAGATCAATTAAATCAATTAAAAAAGATGCGAGAATATATGGAAATAAACGGTAAAAACCGAACACCGAAATATCCTAAAAAACAACATCGTAGACCGAATCATCGAGACGAGCACCAATTCCACAACAAAACATGCTTATTCGAACTAGTTTGCACTGCCTGAAACGCGGTAAGAGGGTCGTAATCCCGATAGAAATCAATCTGACTGAAAAATGCAATGTACGCGGTATGCGAATGCAAAATGCAAAATGAGTCGAAGCATAAGTCAAATAACGAGAAATGGTTGGTCAAATTTTAGGGTGCAATAACATGGATGAAGGTAAATCGAATATCTCTATTTTGACTGAATGGGAGGCGATATGAAAGAGAATTTCGAAGGCCGATGACAACATGAAACTCCACTTCAAAGAACAATTGAGGAAAATTTCCTATCCCAAAACCACGGATATGAAACCTCCTTCTCAACCAGTAAAAACAAAGGGTGCTCCAGAGAAAATGAAGCCTACGCCAAATGACAACTCGACTACATGGTCTCCTTCATAATTTGAACACGTTGACAAAGTATTTCCCGACTCACCGACTCCAAAATCTTAAAAAAGTGTTGTTAAAGGTGCTCAAATTAACAAACCACCTCCGACGCCGCTTCCATCGAAGATTCCATTCATCGACGAGATACCGATTTTTATGCACAAATATATCGATCGTAATGTCAATGTTGCGGGTGACGGTAATTGTAGTTACTGAGCCGTTCCAACTTTACTTGGTAAGGGAGAAGATAGTCATGCGCTTGTCCGTCATCAACTTATCCAAGAGTTAAAGACGCATAAGGAATCATACACGCAATTATACGGAAAAAAAGAAAATTTCGATGCGGATTATGAGTCACTTGTTCCTTGCTTGAGCGGTACGATACAAAGTCAAAATGGATGAGCTTCCCGGATATGAGTCACATAATCGCATCTACATATGATAGGGTATGCATTGACCTAACACGCTATAGGTTTTTGGAAACCTTTTTTCCACTACGCACTGCATCATCCTAAAATCCAAATGATCGCATCATGTGTATTAAATGACTTTCAAAATCAAGTCATTTTATTCAAGTTTACTTGAAATTGGGATGCCCCATACCACCTACATCACCGAAATAGACGTCTCATTCAACCGCAAATGCCGAGACGTGGCCGAATCATTTTATAGAAGGGATGCAAAAATTCAATAGATTGAACAACATCGAAAAGGAATCGAATGCACAAAAGTCAAAAGGGGCACCACCTATGGATTTATCCGACGACATATGTTTTGATTTTTTTGTAATCAGACAAATATTTGTATATAAGTGTGTCTCAATATAAATGAAGTGTTACATATTCACTTATTAGTCATATTTGGTCTTTATACATCTTTGGTTCATATTTGGTCTTTATCAACTCTTTGTCATATGATTCTGTTTTGAAAATGTATCAAGAATTTTTTTGAAGATGTATCTCCTGAATGTTCTTTTATTTGCTTTGTTTTTTAATGGTTTAGGAAAAGCTATAGAGATGCATCTCCGGACAAGATAATGAGGTGCGTTTCAAAGATATATATTCTGAGTATGAATGACAGTCAATGAGTGATCCTTATTGAACTAGGTATTCTGTAAATTTGGGTGTTCTTGTGTTATACTTCACAAAAACTCAAAATGTCTCAAATGTGTGAAATAAACATCTGTTGGTATGTCGCAAGTGTCTTCTACTCCGGCGCATCTACACCCAGTAGAACACTCAAGCTCACCAATCTCACCCCCTTGACGATATCATAGACGAAATCCACTATCTTCTACCTTACAGAGACACACGAAGGATTGTCAAGGTTGAGTACCGTTTACCCTCGGTTGACAACGAATGGAACACTGTGTTCAGAAAACTTGAGCTCAAGACTCGAGCATATGTTATGGCGATGTGGCAAATATTTTTCGGTTTCAAAGAGAAAGTTCCGCTTGAATTTTAAGAGACACTGCGAAGATCGGTCGACGATATCTTGGAGATGTGCAAGCGTCCACCAGAATATTGAAATGTAGTATTTAATTTTTTGTTGAAATCATCATTGTAATGCTCATTTTATGTTATGCATGCTCATTTTATGTTTGGAAAGTTCATCTTGTGTTGATTTCTGTCTCTGGTTTTGTTCAAAAAATATAACTACGGTATGGTTCCAGAGTTATATTTTCAAAATAAATTTTTAATAACTGCGTGAGACGCCATCTAAAATAACATTCATTGAATATAAAAAAAAGTGTATATGAAGATATATCTCCGAAACCTAATAGCAATATTAAAAATCCAAGTGGTGTCTAAGAAATCCTTATGGTGTGTCTAAAGAAATTCTATTAATATTTATACATTTGCCCAAAATTAGGCCCAAATAATGAAAGGAGATTGTGCTTGTGTGAAGCCCTAGGATTCAAGCTGAATGTCGCGGTAACCACAATCCCTAGAGAATTTTGTTCACCCCGATTTCCTCAGCTATCTCAAAATCATTTCCTTCCAGGTTGCTGTAACCGTGAATTAACAAAACTCACCAGCGTTCACTCGGTGCTGTGATTTTGAGATTTCGCGCCAAAACTGCGCCATTGACAACACATATGTTAGTGCTCTTTTCATTCTTTCCATGCGCATTTCATTACTTTTGCTTTTTCCATATGATTGGTGTTATAGTCTTTTTCGTTTTTGTGTTAGCCTGTTGATAAATTAAACGATTGAATCTCATAATTTTATTTTTCCTTTTTGCGCCTAAGTTTTCTCCTTTCCATTGCTCTACAATGGAATGAACGGTTTGAGCTATGTTTTTTTTAGCTATTTTTTCAATTCTTGATGATTGATTTAATATCGAATGATTTCTGAATGGAAACTTTTCTTACCTGGAATTTTATGTGTGATGTACATGCCCACATTATTTGTGGGTCAGTATGGCTGTTGAGGCTTCTGATAAACCAAACTTGCCTGAAAATTTTGACGACGGCAGCAGCGATGATGATCAACCGTTATCTTTTCAAAGATACGCCAAGAAGAGTCCATTGCATTCTCAAGTAAAGAAAACAACTTCTCACAGTCAAGAGGGAAGGTCAAATAGACAGATAACTGACACACCTTCCTCAAATGGCCAAAATTCTAAGCCATCAAATTCAGCTGTCAACACCTCCTCTAACAAGTCACCCGTAGCAAATTCAAAATCCCCTTCATTAGGGGATAAACAAAACTTGCCCGAAAAATTTGACGATGACAGCGATGATGATCAACCACTATCTTTTAAAAGATACGCTAAGAAGAGTCCGTTGCATTCTCAAGTAAAGAAAACAACTTCTCACAGTCACAAGGGAAGGTCAAATAGACAGATAACTGACATGCCTTCGTCAAATGGCCAAAACTCTAAGCCGTCAAATTTGGCTGACAACACCTCCTCTAACAAGCCACCCGTAGCAAATTCAAAATCCCCTTCATTAGGAGATAAACCAAAGCATCTTCTGGGACTGAAAGTAACTGTTGATGTTAAGAAACAAATAACACCTATGGAAGAACACCCTACGAAAGGTTATTGTGAAGGTTTGGAGGATGACGATGATGATAAACCATTGAGTTCTAGGTGGAAGATAAAATCTAATCATGGTAGCAAAGTAGTGGCTCCTGTTGTTAACAACAAGTCTTCTCAAGACTCAGACTCAGATGACGATGATGTCCCTCTGTCAGCAAATTTGTTACCTAAGTTATTACGAAATTCTAATTCTGGAACATCTAGCATGAACTATGATGATTCTGATAAGAAGCGTATTTCAAAAGTTCAGAATGAGCGGCAAAATGGTTCTAGCACAAGTAATAAACAGCAAAAGCCATCTACACTACCAGTTAAGAGAGAACTCGAAAATTGTGATTCCCCGCACTCTTCGGCTAAAAAGTTAAAGATCTCAGATTCAACCACTTCAATCAAAACTAAACAAGTCTCTGTTAAGTCTGAAATTAAAGCTGAGGGGGAAGATGATGATAACGATGATGAACTTCCTATTTCCCATAGATTTAAGAAGTTACCAACATTAGCTGATAAACCATCTTCCACAGAGAAGATATTGGCAAAGGTTACTAAAGTTAACAAGTCTGGTTCAACATCTTTTAAGAAATCGATCAAGAACAAACAGACCAAGAACAAGTCAAAAAAATCCGGCAGTGGCTCAGAATATTCCAAATCTACGAAACTTCTTCCTAGCTCTGGTGATGGGCAGAAAAAATGGACTACGCTGGTTCATAATGGTGTCATTTTTCCTCCTCCTTACAAACCCCATGGGGTAAAAATGCTTTATATGGGGAGGCCTGTTGATTTGACTCCTGAGCAAGAAGAGGTGGGGTTTAGTATCTGAAAACTGTGCTCTTTAGATTTTGGGTTCTTGTTCCCATTATTTATGCATCTCAAATTCTCAAGTACTTTTATGTAAAACTTTCTCAAATTCTAAAGTCTCCGAGTTTTTGACTGTGTTATGGGCTTCAATATGTTTTTCAGGTTGCTACAATGTATGCGGTTATGCGAGATACAGATTACATGCTAAAAGATAGGTTCAAAGAAAATTTCTGGAATGATTGGCGAAAGTTGCTAGGAAGAAATCATGTAATTCAAAGCTTGAAAGATTGTGACTTTACCCCAATCTATGACTGGTGCCAAAGTGAAAAGGAAAAGAAGAAACAAATGACTACAGAAGTAAGTTGTTAACTTTTATGTAATTTCATTTCTCAATAATAGGAATTGATATATTTTGCAACTTTTATTTTGAGTGGGTTTTATTTTATATCAGTTTTCCAATATAAACACACCAATCAGTTAGAATGGTGTCATTATGTTTTGAATCACATGATTTGATACAACTTGTCTAGTTGTTATTTCCTATCGTGTGTGATGAATCACAAATGACTGAGTCGTTCAATACATGACTGAATTGGCGTGACTCATTTTATTATTTTTTTGGTTTGATTCCCATCAATTCTCATCGGACATTGAAAATCAAATCATCTGAATTTGTTGAATGATAAAGAAATGAAGGAGCTCTACTGAAGAATGCGCTATTGGAATATTCTATTGCTTTGTTTTCATTTTTCTGAAGCAGGCTCGCGCACACACCCACTCACTTACTCACTCACACTATGCATTTGATTTGGTATTTCAACTTCTATTGTTTCATTTTTCTTAAACGTAGGCTTCACAATGTCATTTTATGCACACCTTATTTGGCCATGTATATAGAACTCTTATAATTCTGACTGACGGCATATGACTTTTGATTTTGTTGTGTACGACTTAGTTTAAGCTGTTTTATCTATCTGTAGTGTAAAATTATCATATTGAGCACCATATATAATGATGGTATATGATGTATTTTTCAGCTATATTTCATTGTGTCTTTGAATCCTACAATAATACAATCTTACAATTCAATCTGAGATTCACTATTTTAAATTAGTTTGGCTGTTCACAGTTTGATAAACTTATTGATGATTTCGTTGATGTTATTATGAAATAAATCTTATAGGTTTGTTGATTCGTTAGCTACATTTAAAAGGCATTATAAAAGAAACTAGGAAAGTAGGGGGTTTCTAGCTAATTTTGTACTTTTTGATGGAACTTTTGTTTGGGAGTTTTTGGTGGAGTAGGGGTTGATGTTATAGATTATGTATGTATATATGTGCGTGTGTGGTGTGTGTTAGAGAATTTATACTCCCAGTTAAGTTGTACACTTTGAAAGGGAAATAACAAATAATGGAAAGGACCATCCCTTGTAGGTTGTTAGTGAGGACCCCAGAATTCCCAGTTAACAGAATACCTGAATTCACTCATGGTAAAACGAGTACTAATTCTGTCAGTAAAACAGAATTATACATAATAGTTACAGTTGTAACAGATGAATAACTAATTCTGTTAGTAGAACAGAAATAGTAATCGGAGGGAAGGGAGAGTTAGTTTTTGAACTCAGTTGTAATTGGAGAGTGGCTTTCTCAAATCAGCCAGTTTATTGTATACTCTGAATTCTTTTGAGAATTCTTATCTTCTTCCCTTGTACCAGTTGAACCTTCCATAATTCATGTCATCTATCTTTTGATTGTTGACTCTGTCTTAACCCTTTATGCAGGAGAAGAAAGCTCTGAAGGAAGAAAAATTGAAGCAAGAGGAAAAATACACATGGGCTATTGTCGACGGTGTTAAAGAGAAGGTTAAATATTGCTCTCTTGTTTCTTCTTATTTCTCCTAATTGTTCTACAACTTTTATGACCTGTAATTGATCATTAAGTTTGTAAGAGGAAAAGAGTTATACGACCTTCACTTGATTTAGCCTATACTCTTAATATTTCTTGTGGATATGATATTATCTTTGGTTGTAGTATCATCTTTCATTTTTCGAAATCTGTGGCATTTTAGTAAAGAATGACTATATCATTCGCTTCAAAGATTTTTTTAACAGTGTTCAGAAAACGGTTGCTTTTGAGGGAGTTATGCACTGGTGAAGTAGCACATTTTCTTCTCCTATTTATTTGTGACCTTTCTCTGTGGATCTTTTTTATGTATTCCATATTGCAACTTGTTGGTTTCAAATTTATTGATAAAGTAAAATTTTATCTTATAACTAATTTTTTTGTTAAATCTGCACTTTAGGTTGGAAATTTCAGAGTCGAGCCTCCCGGATTGTTCCGTGGCCGTGGAGAGCATCCCAAGGTTATTATGCTAGTTGTTTCTAGAACTAGATACATGTAGTTTTTTTAGATAGAATGATTTCATCTTCAGATTTTTGACTGGCCTCTAAAGTTTATATAGCATTTACTTATTACTCATTACTTATTGATTGATGGAAATTTATGCTATTAGATGGGAAGATTAAAAAAACGCATTCATCCAAGTGACATTGTAATTAATATTGGAAGTGAGGCACCAGTTCCTGAATGTCCTATTCCTGGTGAAAGGTATTATTCTACCTGCCCTTTTTGGAGAATAATTTTTTTGATAAATTTATTTTGGAGAATAAATTTTAAAGCACAAGAATAATGTATATACCACCATGTTGAAAGCTTTTTTTTTGTTGGTATGACCGAGTTATGTAACCTTGGCAGATGGAAGGATATAAGAAATGACAATACAGTTACATGGTTATGCTATTGGAGTGACCCAATTAATCCAAAGCTATTCAAGTATGTGTTTCTGGCAGCCAGTAGTTCCTTGAAGGGTCAAAGTGACAGGGAAAAGTATGAGAAGGCTAGGATGTTGAAGGTGCTTTCATGCTTTCTTTGTTAGCTTTTATCGAAAACCATATTTGTCTTACAATATTTAAAAGAATTTGTGTATTGCCATAGTTTTTAATATCATGGTGCAGGATTATATAGGGAACATCAGGGCTTCATACACGAAAGATTTTACGAGTAAGGATATTACAAAGCAGCAGATAGCCGTTGCTACTTATCTTATTGATAAACTGGCTCTGAGGGCTGGTAATGAGAAGGTATAATGTCTATATACACACTTTCTAAATCTTTTATGTGCTAGCTGCAAGTTGCTCGCTTCACTAAAACATAAAATTACATACAAGAGGCCAAAGGCACAAATGCATAGTTTTGCATAATTGAAATAGGTGTTGTTTGTTCATGGCTGCAACTATTCCCTGTAAAAATCTGCTTTTAAAATAGGTTTGTAATGTTGAGCTTTATTAAATATATAATGTGATGGTGTAGCCATTGCCTATCCCATACATCAACAAAATTGTTCTGTTCTTTGAATTTATTGTAAGCTTTCCTAGTGTGTTTAGTGCCCTCATTATCAGACGATTATCATCTTGATTTCTGCTATTTAAGTTTAGTCATTGAATAATTGCATTTGCTTAGGATGATGATGAAGCTGATACTGTTGGCTGCTGCACATTAAAAGTTGAGAATGTGACAAGAGAAACCCCCAACAAATTGAAGGTATTGGAGTTAAAAGTATTTTCACTTTTGTTTTTCTGGTTCGGTTTGATTTATTTAAGATCCTTTGGGGGCGTTTTTTTCAAGTGGAGTTGTGACTCTAATGATATCTGTTCCCGTATCAATTATTCTTCCAAGTGATGTTGTTCATTATCTGTTTCAATGCAGTTTAACTTCCTTGGTAAAGATTCAATCAAGTATGAAAATACAGTTGAGGTTGAGCTTCCTGTTTATAATGCAATTTTGAAGTTCCAAAAAGGTTGGAAACTAGTTATTCTTAATATGTTTGTAGTTTGAGACTCAAGCCCTAAGTGCTTTTTTCTCTTTTCAGATAAAGGCCCTGGTGATGATCTCTTTGATAAGCTAGATACAAGTAAATTGAATGCTCATCTAAAGGAACTCATGCCTGGCTTAACAGCAAAAGTCTTCCGTACATTCAATGCATCTATCACATTGGATGATAAGGTAAAAATAGGTTTAAATGAAAATCCTTAAATTCTCATTCCTTGGAGATGGATGACTATATGCTGTTAATGATGTACAAACTGGTTGAAATGATACAGAAAGCTGGTTAAGATAGCATACATTCTTTCATTTGACTTAATATTTCCTGTAACAGCCCTTCGATCAAAATCCTCTTAAACTCACGTAATACTTTCCTCTTCACAGTTTTTTCCTTTCCAACCTTCATTTCCATCTTGGTTCAAAATACCCAGATCACCTACCATCCATGCTTCTCAAGGCTTAACCTATAGCTTGTCATTCGATGATTTCTTTTATTAGGTTCTATATTAGACTTTTATATATAATTTTCCTTAAATTGTATAACAGTTGAATAAAGACACTAAAGATGGAGATGCCGCAGAAAAGATTGTTGTTTATCAGCATGCAAATAAGCAGGTGAATTGGGATGAAAATATTGGTAGAGTATTATTATTTAAATTCCTCACATATATGTTGTAACAGGTTGTCTCTTCCGTAACAGGTTGCAATCATCTGTAATCATCAACGGAGTGTTTCAAAATCTCACAGTGCACAAATGATCAAATTAAATGAGAAAATTGATGAACTTCAGGTGATTTGAATAATATTAAATTGTGAACCTGGACTGAATGATATTTCTTAATCAATATGTTTAAATTATAATAGATTTGGCTTTTGTTGGCCATGAACACATAATTGGAACTGCCTCAATATTTACTTGTAGGATGTTCTGAAGGAGCTGAAAGTAGATTTGGACAGGGCAAGAAAAGGGAAGTCCCCTACAAAGAGTTCAGATGGAAAAAGCAAACGAAGCTTAACTTCCGAAGTGTAATTTAGCTTTCTCAACATCTTTAGCCATTACTTGGTTGAATATGATGCAAGATTGTGGTTTATGCAATGTACAGGCTAGAGAAAAAGATATCTCAAACCAATGCAAAAATTGAGAAAATGCAACGTGATATGAAGACAAAAGAAGATCTTAAAACTGTAGCATTGGGCACATCCAAGATAAACTATCTCGACCCCAGGATTACAGTTGCCTGGTGCAAGCGGCATGAGGTTCCCATTGAGAAGGTGCTAGCTTCTTCTTCACTTGTTCAGATTTACTTATTCTTTCCCAGGATTATCAGTATTTTACATGCAAGTTATATCTCAATTTGAAACAAAACTGAACCCAACCGATAGGAATCATGCCTGTTTTGGACCTGAAATGCAGCATGAATCTCAATTCTTTATGATCAATTTTGTTTCATTCTGATGAATCACAACTTGCCACTGATATATTACTTGTTTTTATCACAAATGTCATTTTTTTGAATTATGTATCTTCCAATTCATAGCATAGGTCTTTTGATGCCTGCATAGTGATCTCAGCCACTAATGGTTGATAGTATTGATCTCTCAGCTACTAGATCAATCCTACCATAGACATTTGAGTGGAAGAGCCGAGTTCTGCATTTTCATTCTTGCTCATGTGTTGTCAATCTGATATCATACTTAGTTGACTGCATTTGTTTGATTCTCTCAGTTTGAGTTTGTTACTTATCCGTGCCTCTAAATTACCTGAAATTTCAGCTTTTCACAAAATCTCTGCTGGCAAAATTTGCTTGGGCAATGGATGTGGACCCAGATTTCAGATTCTGAGAGAGTGGAACGCTGAGATGATGGGTTGAAATTTTTTCCTTTTTTACTAATTTGTTTTCTATAATAATTAATTGTTTCATGTGTTGTAAGTTCATCTAATCTAATTATGGTGTCTCTTCTCCTTTGACCTGTATACTGTTTGAACAAACAGCCATTCATAGTTACGAATTTAGGGTTTGTTTTTTCAGCTTTAAAAAAATGGATTTTTTCTTTGTATTTTCTAAAATAAATTTTATAAAACCTTTTTTTAAAATATTACAAATTATTTTTATATTCGTTTTTTCTAAAATGAAAGACTAATTTTGACATCTTATAACATAAACATACATTATTGAAGATCAAAAGATAATTGAAATCGTAATTTTTTCAAAAAAGTTCAATTTCAAAAATGATTTTTATAAAATTCTATTTGTGAAATAGTTTTAAAATTAAGTAATTTTTCTTGAAATTTTTATATTTAAAAAAAGTTTTAATAAAATGATATTTAAAATAGTATTTAAAAAATAATTATTTAAACTAAATATTCATTTGAAGCTTATTAACTGTTTCTTTGTAAACTTTTTTCAATTAGTTACATTGTAAAAATTATTTTTAAAAAAATCAAAACAAACGGGCCGATAGCAGTGGAACAAATAAATAACTATGAAAATATTGAAAATAAGGAAATAAATAAAATGGAACAAATAAATAAAATGAAAATATTAAAAATAATGAAATAAAATAAAACGCAGAAACTTTTCTAGCGTCGTCATTTTTCTTTTTTCTTCCATTATCAGTGTGATTTGTTACATGTTTATAGCACCAGGGTGATTATTCATAATCCTCATTTTAGCCGGACTTAATTTTTAATATTTTTCATATGAAACCGCAGGTGGTACTATAGGCGAGGCTTTTATGAAAATAAATTAAATAACAGTGCTGGGTGGGTTTTTGAAATTTTGGAGGGTTGTGTGTATATTTTAAATGTGTTTAATTTTTTTTAATAAAAGTTAAAAAAATAGATATACAATTATATTGTTCTTTAAAATATTAAACACATTTTTTAATATAGATTAAATCCATGCTAAATTCTCTTTAAAATTTGTCAAATCAAAAATAAAAAATATGTTTGAATTCTGAAATTTGAATTAACAATTTGTTAATTAAAATTCGGATGTAATCTAACACATAACACCAAATACATGTGCAAAATTAAAGTTAAAAATATGTCTGAATTTCAAAAGACATATTTCAAAATGCTAATCGTTTTGCCTTCATGTTTGTGTTTTAATGGTTGATTTTTGTATAACAAGCATAATATGAAATTCAAAATAGATACTTTTAAATGTGATTTTTAAACACATTTAAACATAATATGATCTTAGACAAACATGTTAGAGTTAATAACATTTTTTCTCTGCCATATAAGGATTTTGTTCCTTTAAACCTTGATAAAAAATTACACACTTCATGTGTCTATGTGACATTATTTTTTATTTTTTCTTCATTTTTTTAATTCTAAAAATGCTAATAAATAATTTTAAATATTACATTGGTATTTTATTTATTATTATTTTAAGTTTAAAAATTTTAAAAGATGTAAAATTTTGGGATTTTATTTATTATTATTTAAAGTTTGAAAATTTTAAAAGATGTAAAATTTTAAAATTTTGAGAACAAGGAAACTTAATCCATGATCTCCACAGCACCTACCACTGGGACAACTTGTTTGTTGTATTTTGTTTTGCAATTGAAATGCATATAGTAGATAATTATTTGTTATATTTCATTTTTCTATTATATTTTTTTGTTTAAATTATTTTATATTTTATATTTAGTAATCTTATATTATTTTATCAACATTATTTAATATTCAATAAATTATTTATTTCTGAATTTAAATGCAAAATTATTTTAACGTATGAATTTTTAAAAATATTATTAAAAATTAATTTTAATTTGTTATTAATTTTGTTTAAACATCATTATTCAAACCTTTATGGTAAATTATTTTTAAATGTGTTTAACAATTATTTCTAATTATTTTTAATTATTTCTAATTTAAATGTATTTAAAGGAAAGTTATTTCTAATTTTAAAGAAAATTATTCTAAATTATTTCTAATTATAATTTGTTATAAAATGTGTTTAAATATATGAATTTCAAGAAACATTATTTCTTATTTATAAGGAACATTATTTCTAATTTATAAGGAACATTGTTTCTATTTTATAAATTTAACATTTTTGAATAATATTAAATTTAAATTAAAAAATAATAAGAAAATGTACTTGTTTTGGACTGGGTCGACGCTTAGCTCAAAGCCCACTGCGGTTGGACCCGTATGAACCACACTGACGGGCAGAAGACCTGTCGGGCACAACCTTCCTCCCCGTCGGGGCACATGCCAACAGCTGTCGGGCAAGGCCCCCATATCCGGCCAGACAGTCTCCTTCTTCTCCGTTGTCGGGCAGAACCTTCGCTGCCACAAGCCAACCTTTGTCCTCTTCTTATTCGGACAGGCCCACATCCGTCGAGCAGGACCCTCGCGTCCGACCAGCCAGTCTCCATCTCCTCCTTAGTCGGGCAGGACCCTTGCATCCGACCAGCCACCTCTGTCTGTCCGGATGACTCCTCCGAAAGAGCAGGTCAGCCCACCTTCCAGAGATCACGGGACAGTTGACCTAGGGCGAAGACCACATCCTGGTCTTCACTACGCCACGTAAGCCCTAGCAGTCACTTGGGTTGGGCCTGGTCATCCAGCCCAACGCAAATGACATGTTCTGGCCTGGGCCCCGGCCTGACCGGGAAGGTCCAACCCACCTACACTTGGGGAAAGGCCCAAAGGAGCCTTCCTCATATGTGTCGAGCACAGGTCCTCTGTCGACCAGACACTGTCCTCGCCAGGCAAAGCACCTCTCCCGTCGGGCAGAAAGACGTGTGCCTCACACGTTCTACACGTGCTCCCCTCCGCGGGGACACACCATCATTCAACTATCCACCTCCAAAAGATGAGGTCATCCCACCTTCAGGAGATCACGAGATAGTTGACCTAGGGCGAAGAGCACGTCCTGGTCTTCACAACGCCACGTAAGCCCTAACAGTCACTTGGGTTGGGCCTGGTCATCCAGCCCAACGCAAATGACCGTTGGCCCTGCGCTGGGGTCTCACTATAAATACCCTTTTTCACTAGAGGGTTAGGTATTCAATTCTCAACCTACTTTCTGTGTTTGCTCTCACTCTGTCCAATTCCTTACTTTAGCATCAGAGTGTCTTGCAGGTACACCCCTCCTCCTTCTTACCACCGACATGCCCACATCCGTTGAGCAGGACCCTCGCGTCCGACCAGCCAGTCTCCCTCTCCTCCTTAGTCGGACAGGACCCTTGCATCCGACTAGCCACCTCTATCTGTCCGGATGACTCCTCAGACAACTACCCACCTCCGAAAGAGCAGGTCAGCCCACCTTCCAGAGATCACGGGATAATTGACCTAGGGAAAAGATCATGTCATGGTCTTCCCGGTCTTCACTACGCCATGTAAGCCCTAGCAGTCACTTGGGTTGTGCCTGGTCATCCAGCCCAACGCAAATGACCTGTTCTGGCCTGGGCCCCGACCTGACCGGGAAGGCCCAACCCACCTACACTTGGGGAAAGCCCCAAAGGAGCCTTCCTTATATGTGTCGAGCATAGGTCCTCTGTCGACCAGACACTGCCCTCGCCAGGCAGAGCACCTCTCTCGTTGGGCAGGAGTCTTCCCCGTCGGGCAGAAAGACGTGTGCCTCACACGTTCTCTACGTGCTCCCCTCCGCGGGGACACATCATCATCCAACTATCCACCTTCGAAAGAGCAGGTCAGCCCACCTTTCGGAGATCATGGGACAGTTGACCTAGGGCGAAGACCACGTCCTGGTCTTCACTACGCCACGTAAACCCTAGCAGTCACTTGGGTTGGGCCTGGTCATCCAGCCCAACGCAAATGATCGTTGGCCCTGCGCTGGAGTCTCACTATAAATACCCTCTTTCATTAGAGGGTCAGGTATTCAATTCTCAACTTACTTTCTGTGTTTGCTCTCACTTTGTCCAATTCCTTACTTTGGCATCAGAGTGTCTTGCAGGTACACCCCCTCTTCCTTCTTACCATCGGTGAACATGCAGTAGATCAGAGACACGTGGCGGTCCATAGATTCCCTTCTTATTAGGTCAGATCAGTGGCGTCGTCTGTGGGAACTAAGCTTCCCCGTTCCTCCGAGCAGAGAACCAAAGCTTCATCTCTCAAAACTTCAGGATCATGACTAGTCCACTGTTGCAGTGGAAATAGGATATCAAACTATTAATTAGTTTGATTCACAATTCTTAATTCACAACCGCTCTTTGATTTATCCGAAGGAAAAGGTCAAAAGCGGGAAAACCTATTTTTGCATCGTAAACACAATGCGGGGAGAGACCTAGGTAAGGAGTTGGTTAAGCTTAGGGAAGGTACTAGCACCCTAAACTTCTGTAGTACTCTACAGGAACCTTTTGTTTATTGTATACTTTTTTATTTTATTAGCTGCTTTAATATATATTGAGCTAAGGGATAGAGTGACCGAAAAGACCTAAAGGTTAGTCCTAATTTTACTCGGCAAGACGTCGCATCTTGTGCCTACGTATCTTGGATAGGGAATGGAATCAGAGTAATCGTAGTTCCCCTCGAAAGGGAGGTTAGAAACGTCTTGTCTGTGATCAAGGTTTCAAGGGGAGTAAACGTATCTTAAGGATACGCTCACGTGGAGTCTTGAAACTCCTATTTCTACGTTGAATTTGTCAATTGAAAATTAGGGATTCCACGATGGAAAACCCTAAAATAGAGTACGACGACTCTTTGACCTAAAGTTAGGGTAAAGGGCGTTTTTGTCCACGGCGGGACGCCTAGGCGATTAGGGTTTGAAATGGTCCAAAAATTAGGGTTATTGACTCGGCGGTCAAACTGCTAAACCTAATCCTTCGGAAGGAGGAAATTAACGGTAAATAGTGCAAACATG